GAGGACGACCGCGAGTCGCGGAACGAGCGGGACGGCCGCGAGGACGACCGCGGGGACCCGACGATCCGAATTCCTCGTTCGCGAGGCGAGAGACGCTTCCCTCCGTTCCGACGCGGTCGTCGTCGAAGGGCGAGGAGGAGGACGATGACGAGGGATCGTGGCGCACGCGATGGGGAAGACGAGGCGGAGAGTCGAGAAAGGAGAGAACGGAGCCTGGAGAGCGATCGTTAATGGATGGACGAGGCGGGGAAGAGGGCGGAGGGGTCGGAGGATCGTCGTCGCCGGTGGGCGGTGGATACTTTCGCGCGATCGCGTCGAAGAAGGCCTCGATGCGTCTCTCCCGAGGATGGACGCGCTTGAACATGTACTCGGCCAGATATCCCTCGAGGTGTCTCCGTTGATCCCGTACTTGGGGACGTTGGCTCGAACCTCCCTCCAGACGCGTTCTATGCCCTGCGTGTGCGCACCTGGCGAACGTCGCGTATATATATTATTAGTTCGAGATTAAAGGAGGAACGCGCGCGACGGGACTGACGGCGCGCGTTCGACGCGGATGGAGAGAGAGCTCACCCGAGGTAGGACTGACAAAGTTGACCTTGTGATTGACTGATCGATGCACGTAGCCCTCGTCGTCCAGACAGTCGTACGGCTTGAAGCAGTCGGTGTACACGGTGGTGCCTCGAACGATCCACCGTCTGATCAGTGGCAGCAGCGTCCCTCGTGCGATCCTTCACGGGAATGAGAAAGATTCTCCGCGACTCGCGCTCGTATCCGCCGAACACCCATTTCCCCTCGTCTAAAAAAACTGCTTTTTTCAAATTGCTGGAAAAAAACCAGAAAAATTTTGGTTTTTTTCCGAAAAATTAGTTTTTTTGCGAAAAATTGCTGTATAAACGATATACTACCTAATTTTTAATATTTTTTATTATATTAAATATGAATTGAGATTCAGAAAGTAATGTAAGTGATTTATTTTAAATTGCTCGTTAAAACGTGTAAATTTTTTATTTAAATTGTAGATATAAGCTTATAACTCTTATATGTTATAACTCTCGTATTT